ACATGTCTGTTCAATCCTATAAACAATCACTGCATGTTATTCAATGTATGATCACTAATATTTTATAACTGGGTCAACAATCAAACCAGTAGCGAACACAACATATTTTGCTTATACTAACCATATGGAAAAAACTCTAATTTTGGAGCACATTTCTTTAAAAATGTTTTGCATTATTGAAAATCAAGATATTAATTGAACGTGTCCAAATTCAGCAATACCATCAACTCGTTCAACGTATTCGCACAAATTAAAGCATAGAGTAGCGAAGAAAGAATACAGTGCTAATTTTAGCTAACAATGCTAAAAATTCAACGAAAAATCACTCTTGCCAACATATGCTACTTCGGGCTAAGTAGGTGATTGAGAAATAAAGCACTCTCTCGACAAACAAAAATCACGCTCTACAAATATCCTATCATGCCTATACTGTTGTATGGTTCAGAAGCTTGGACAATTACCAACAGTAATGAAAAGGCTTTAGGAGCAATCGAAAAATTCTTCGGAAGATCTATGGTTCATTACGCGTTGACGACGAGTATATAATAAGATGGAACGATGAGCTGTATTAGCTATACCGCGACATTGACATAATTAAGCGCATAAAAATTCAGCGGCTTCGCTGACTTGGTCATGTCGTGCAAATGGAAGAAAGTGCCCTGGCTAGAAATATGTTTGATTCTGTAACGATTTGGGAGCGATTGGTACTACTAAGTGGCGGCAGCAAGCAACTAAATGGGATGGCTTGCGGAGGCTACTGAATTTGCATTTTCGTAAAAATTAGGTATGAAATTTACAAAAACCAACATTTTAAGTTAAAATACAAATAACGGAGACACATTTTTAATTTTCAGTTTATATTATAAATACTTAACAACATACGTCACGATCTCAACGGGCCTATTTACACTATTAGCTCAGTATACACTATCATGAACTCTCATGAGCGTGAAATTTGTTTTGTTTTGTGTGCACAGAAATTGAGAGTATTCAGCATTAAAGGGTAAACATAAACATAACATTGCATATGTATGCGTTTTAAGCAAATTTCATATGTTATCTCAGCAAATTTCATTGCGTGAAATTCATGAACTCACATCACACCCTCTTCCCTCCCTCATCTATCCGTACCGATTTTCTACTTCATGTTCATGTTTTTTTTTGTTTTTGGAATTGAACCTGGGGGAAAAATCTTCTAAAAATACAAATGGCCCGTACCATTTGCATGCCCGATTCATGCACGACGTAATTGAGTCATACATGCCTACGGACTAATAAGTTCCCTACATTCTCAGCTCAAACTCCTGGAAATACCCTGCAGTACGACCAATTAAGGTATAACTTCACAGAGCAGGTTAGAAGAGCACTTAGCGTGCTTTCACTCCGATTGTGTACTAAGTATTTCCTCCACTCTAACAGTGTTTATTCTTCTAGATATTATGCTCTTCTTGAGGCTCCATTCTTTAGTGCCTGCCAACTTCTGCATTACTACATTAGGAGATTTTGTCTAGTATCTACGAATGTAATACAGTCTCTAATTATATGGTCGGGCTCTCCATTTTATCTGGACAAAACTGGCAGTACGGATTACCTGCAAGCTTGAACCGGTAAAAGTATTCACGAAAGCAGCCATGCCCCGTAAGAAACTGCGTTAATTGAAATCCCAGGTCTTCAGATCCTCGGTTAATCCAAACTTTTATATTTGGAATTAACGAATACGTCCATCTTGATTTTTGGGAAGTTCATGTTCATGTTACGTTCATGATAGTGTAAATAGGACCAACGAATGCAAATATCAATCCTTTCAAAATTAGCAGCAAAATAATATTCACTATTTCAAACAAAATTGTGAAATCCAAGTAACTATTTTACATCCTTGGGTGCAAACGCAAAAATAGAAACGCACATTTGGTAGCAATGCTACAAATAGAATTTTAGACACTCGTGTGCGAAGATAATTTTATATCGCACAGTGCAGTGCGAGCATAAAAATTCTTACAAATTTGATTGTCAACATTTTTAAAAGTCAATCGCACACTTCAAATTTGTGTGCACATGGTTGTGTGCACAATCATCGCTTGGTGCAATGTTAAAAATAAAGCCGCATCTAAAATGTGTGTGCGCAGATTCGCTTACTTAACACCACAAATGTGAGTGTGCACATATAAAATATTAAATTCACTCGCACAGTGCAGTGTTCAATTTTGTGCACCACATTCCGAACTCTGGACTCCCTGTTATGTTATATAGTATGTAAGAACCGTCAGTAGCGCAACCATAGTTATTGTTAGTGTAAATGCTATTAATATTTTTGGTATAGAAGATATTGTTGCGCCTTATGCAGTTATTACACATCAAGCATTTTTCTTAAAAATTTTTGTCGCCGTTTAAATGCATGCATGATTTTGTTTTGTAGTATATTTGTTGTTTTTTTCTGGGGCATGTTCAAGCTACTGTCGACTAATTTGATGTATAATAGCAAGCAACGGCAAATATTCTTGATAAAAGTTCTTGATGTATAATACGCGCTTAATACGCGCTTTATAGTAACAACTATAAGTGGATAATCTCACTTCATCTTAATAGATGGAGAGAGTTGAGCACTTGTAGACAGACCAAACTCATGTTACCTAAACCGTAGGCCAGAGAAGCGATAAAAGTGCTTAGCTATTCGCGGAGCACTCTAAGCTGGCTGACCTCACTAATTATTGGACATGGCAACTTCAAGTATCACATCAAAAAGATAACTCTTGCTGAGGAAGATACTTGCAGACTATGTCTAGAAGAAAAGGAGACAGCGGTGCATAAATTGTGCCAATGTCCAGCACTGGCAAGTAGGAGGAAGACTGTCTCGGGACACCATTGGGTTGGTGACGACTTGGCAGGAAACCTCAAGCTAAATGAGATACTTGCATTAATAAAAGATGTAGTTATGCGAACGGAAGCCACTCCAGCTTTAATTCAATAACAACATCCAAGAATCGAAGGACGAAAAAGGACCCAAGTCGTTTCGTGGTCTACTTCGACTAATCCTTCACTTCAGTGGGGTCACTTGTTGGACAGTGCGCTGTCCCAACGTCCCACCATATATATATATAGTAACAACGATATTATGAATTATATTAAAAAACATCATGTTGTTTAGTAATTAATTATTAATCACATTTTGAGTTTTTGTTAGGCTTTTTCTTTTGTAAGCATATCGCAAAAGAACAAATAAGGTAAATACCATTTTCGATGACAAGTCTGGATAATATGGAAATTTTTTCAAGCTTATACATATGTATGTATATGCAAAACACGTAATAAGATTTAAAGTTAAAATTTCGAAAATAAATAATTTTTTGTAGTTATTGGTGCCTTTTACCGGTAAAATAATAAACTGAAAAAGTGACATATTTGTTACGAACAATTAACGAAATCATTCGTTAACAGTTAACTGGGAATTTCATAGCAACTTCCAAAAGTCGTTCACAATAGACGAATTTTTAGTTTTGGCAACCATGGGATATGAGCTGCTTGTTAGTTAAGCAATTTCAAAAAGGTTGGACTAAATAAGCCAGCAGTGTTGTTGTTTCATATATTACTTTTAAAATAAGCAGTTGTTCTTTTGTGATATGCTTATAAAAGAAAAGGCCTATTATTATTTTATTAAATCTTATAAAATAGAATTATCAACTAAATTTAAATACATAACAATTACAATTGTTTAAAATAAATATATTTGTGGTGTATTACTTTATTTTAATATTAACGTACTTTGTTGACTTTTCATTATTATTTACAATGGCTTATAACAGTTATTTACTAGCACTTATTAACCTATTAAGTACCAGGCAAGTTCAAACTTGGAATTTTATGGTGAAATTTTCAGAAAGGTCTTATTTTACGTTAAAAATATTCCCTGCAAAATTAAATTTTTTTTTTGAAAAGTAGTTTTCCGAAAAAGTGCCGTGTGGTCAACCACACGCTGGGACCCATAGCACATTTTTCTCTCTTCGATTGTACAAACATTTTTATATATGTTTTGTTCGCAAATATGGTATTTAGTTACTTTTATGGTGAAGTAAGTATCATTTTAAGTTGTATAAAGTACACGTAAGTATAAAATTCAATGTTTTATGCTTTCCAAATATTCATTAATCAAAAAATATATTTGAATTATTATATATGTATTATATTATGTAAAAAGAAATAAGTTTACTTGCGTCATGGTCTACGATCAATGTAATATTGTGTTATGGTTGTGGTAGAGGTGGCAGGATTGGCATGTTATGGTTGCAGGATGTTAGGATCGTCAAGTTATGATAGCAGGATTGCTATGTCTTGTTATTATAATTTGAAAGCAGATTTCCAGATAGAGACTTCTCAATTATTATCAATGTCCTGTTTCCTGAAGAGGATTCAAGGAATGCCTATGCGACCGGATATAGTGAAACGACCAGATATTTAGGAGGAAAGTATTACTAGGCTCTTCAGCTGCTTATTGCTCTGTCAGCATCTAAATGCCGCATAGAACACGATTCAAGAAAAAGACGTTGCCTTGTCTTAAGTTAAATTGAATATGTCTTTATTCTAAAAATCATGGGTATTTATACTTATTCTAGCTTGTTTACTAAACAATTATTATTTACTTCTGTTTGACTTGAGTAACCAATCAATGCATTGATTACTCCCATAAATTACATTAATTATTTTACAATTACAATTATGCGTCATGTACTTGATTTTTAAAGAGTTAATGTACTTTCTAGAATTTAGGTTGGAATAGTGCAATAACCACACATGCTTATCATGTCTTATGTTACAAATGCATGAGTCAAAATATTTATTTTAAGTAATTTTAAGTAACAAAAGTGCATATTATAATTTATGACACATTTATTTTGTCTAAATGAACATATGGCATTGATGTTGGTCATGGCCACTACAATTGTTTATTTTCATAGAAAATTTGAAAGCAATTTTCTACATGACCATTTAAATGGCACTTTTCATACGCAAAAACTGTGACTTTTGTTGTACGAACAATACAGCGGTGGCGATTTTGAGTTTTTATGGGACCGTGCATACCGGTTACACGTGGTAAATTTCCCGGAAGATAAACATCTTCTGCTGCACTGTGACTTTCCCTCTTCAAATCATCGTAAGTAGTAACTTCTGTAATGAACATTCAGTTCTCTAATGCAGGAAGAAGGTTTCTAGCAATGAAATTCTTGAAGTCTAACTGAGGCATCGGTTTTGTGTTATTAGAAAGAGCGACGAAGCAATGTAGTTTCCAAACGTTTACTACAGCGCTATCTAAACACTGAGGCTATAATGGCCACCACCAATTAATGCTTCTATTACCAATACAACAGTTAGCAACTCTATTGTCATGTAAATCGACGCCGCCCATGTATCGGTAGTAGCTGTTGATAACTTGAGGTTGCGGGACACCAACCTTTTTTTTCTCTCTGCTATAACGTTGGATACTCGCAATGGCTCAATAATTTCTTTATAACAAATGTACCGATTCCCAATTGCTTGTTGTTTTTGTCAGTTGCACTCAGGTATGGCAGAAAGTGGAAGTTATATCCACTAATATTAATGTTTTAACTAAAATTTGAGTTCCTCTCCAAAACTCGTATTTATTTTTATAATTAGGATACAAATGTCCTTAAATTAATAAACTGTAATAACAGTTTATGATTGTGCAGATGTTACAATAAAAACGGAGCAATGTTTTATCTGCACATAATTGCAAAAGTTGATTTTAACGTATTCTAGGAATCCCATACATTTCAGAATTTGGGTTTCTGTCAATATCTATTGTTTTAAATAACAATAGTAATGCTTTAATTTGTGGAAAAAAAACCTAGTGGATAAAATAAAAATTTAAATATATTAAGTTTGTTATAATACTTTCATTAAAATTATAATTTTAATAAAATATATTATCTAAAAGTTTAGTTATATAAAACTAGGTGACCACGCGAACTTCGTACCGCGTAACAGTCAATGAATGTTATATTAAATTTTAGATTCATCAGCGATCGAATTTTGTGCTTGAATACACATGCAGTGATGTCGTGCCGATCACTTGATGTTTGTCCAGGAAGCAACATTTGAACAATTTGTTTCCATTTTGGATTACATAAACTAATTTTTTGATAGTTTCCTCACCTGATTTAAAAACAATCGGTATCTTAGAAGTAAGACTCACGTCTGTATTCTGAATTGAAAACTATGATCTTGATACCCACCATTCAATGGGTTTATCATTTTTATATCGAAGTGATATCCATTATCTTCTTGCCAAAACATCAGTGGGTATTGCAACGTGTCATATGAACGGTGTGTTTCACATACTTGTTGCAGTTGCCCAGTATCGCGATGTGTAAGCACAATATCGCGTGTGTTCAAGTTTTCTCCAACGATCAGGATTGCAACTTCATCTATTGTTGGAGCGTTAAATTTGCGTTCATGTGTTTCTGCTGGTCGTTTATCCGCTCTGATCACAACTTTCTAGTTATCATGTGGCATGCGCTCCAACGCAGTCTTGAACACCCTGACCAATGCATGATGTTCATGAAGTAGTTGCTGCAGATCTTGAAAAATTGCTATTTTCATTGCTGTGTTGATCTCTTGACGCCGTTCAAGTTGTTCCATCATATTGCCCATGAAGTATATTTGGAAGAATTTATGTTGTGCACCTTCAACAGGTTGCAATGATTCAATATGATGGTGAATCTGGCACTCGCACAAAACAAACATATCAATACTTTCAGCTCATATTTATTTATTTTATTTAAATTTATTATAATTGAAATTTGAAATATTTGAAAAAGAAATTTAAAAAGAAATCAATATCACTCAAATTGTCGAACTGTCAACAGTTTGAAACAGCATTTACAAATTAATTATTTTTGCTAAAATAAGTGGATTTTTCCAATATTTTATAATATATTTTGCTATTCGGAGCGGAGACGATTCCAACAAATCAAAGATAATTTAAATCGGTCCAGCCGTTCTTGAGTTATAAGTGGTCTAACTAACACGACTTTCTTTTATGTATATAGATTTATTATAATAATTTTATTCAAACAAAATCGAAAAACTAATCCAGCCGTGTGGATAAAATGAAAGAATAAAAATTAGAAAATATTAAATTTATTATAATAATTTTATTAAAATATATTCAAAAATCTGATCATTATAAGTTACTTTCATATAAAATTAAACTATTTTTTTTGTCTCCCAAACAATTTGTTAATTTTCCATATAAAATATTTAAATAGATGCCATTGGATAAAATTAATGTTTAGATGAATTTCTTTGTGTATAATATTCTTTGTAAACACTCTGTTATCATAAAATAAAGTTTCTTGACCATTGCCATTAGATATATATAATTTTAATCCGCTAAATAAACGAAGTCTTCTAATCGTCTCACCAAGACATGTACCGCATCAAATGTTTGCCCTTGGGATTTCTTGATGGAAATAACAAATAGAGGTATGATTGGAAACTGTATTCGCTGAATTTGATATGGGAGAATTGATCCATAATATGTATGTTAAATGTATTCGTAGAATCAAGTTTCTTTTATTTCTCATTACTCCAGTTAATACTTTACAATATATAAGCATTTTACTCTCATTCGCGTTCCATTTACTAAAGCTTGTGAAGTATTCATATTACTTATCAACATAATAGATTTCACTTTTATTTAGATTATGTGGTGACATGATCGAATATACATCACATATAACTTTATCAAAACTGTAATAAATTTTTTCCACCCCTGAATAAGGACATATCATCAATAAGTAATAAAGAGTCTTCATTTGTGGGACCTGAAATTACGGATTTAAGAATTTGATCTGACAATAGGGGTATTCAGGTTGTCTGTGCACCGTTGCATGTACAAAATTATTTGATTTCACAAAAACAATTCTCTTATATATAATTCTGCATTTGATTTGCAAGACAATATTCAAGACAATAATTTCAACAGCAATTACCTCTTGCATATTTGATTTTCAAGACTCCATTGTGATACTACTTTTTTTTTGTTCGCTGGGCAATACTTTAGCGAAACAGTTGTTTGTTTTTTTAATTTTGTCATTTTGTTATTTTGTGATTTTATGCAATTCTTTGATTTTGTATTTATTTTAGGTCCTCAATGTTAGAGCTGCTGGTCAAAAATATTTGGAGATGTATTAACAAAAAGTGGACCAATAATGAGGTAAATCTCATTCTAGATTTCCTTGAGAAAGTAGAAGGTTTTAAGGTATTTATGTTATATATTCGCCTATCGAGATTATTTGTTTTTTTGTATTTTATTAGAATCCAACAGCGCAAATATTTTATAGGGCACTTATAGCAACAAAAAAAAATTGAAATATGTTGCAGTTTAAAGTACGCCATTTAAGACAAAGTTAGAGAAAAGTAAGTAACTGGTGTAACTCAACAGGCACAGGTCTTGTAATAAAGATGCCTGTATAACTGTTAAAGGCTGATCAAAATGCTTCTGACTTACTACAAATAAAACGCTATTATATATTTGTTTAAGTTTTTATAGATAAGATTGAAAAAATATGCCCTTCCTATAGTCGTTTGTGCACTCTTTTTGGACCAGGTCTGAACAAAACTACTGCAACTTGTAGTTCTACAGGAAATTGTTTAGATGAATATAACTTAGTAAATTCTTCATCGTTAGCTAAAAGGTTAACAATTTTGTGGAATTATAGTCGCCCAACTCGTAGCATTTGACGCAATCTATTGTCATCAATAGTTGTGAGGGCATCAGTGAACCATTTTTAAATTTGGTTTTTGAGTTAAGTACATAACTTTAATAGACTTTATTTAAACAACTTTAATTTACTTTATTTAACTAAACAAAATATTTAAAAAAATATTTAACATAACTTTAATATACTTTATTTAACTGAACAAAATATTTCATAACATAACTTTAATATACTTTATTTAACTGAACAAAATATTTAATCACGTCGCTATCCAACTGACGCTCTTCAACGAACTTCCGTTACTCTCGTTCACTCGCTTTTGACATTCGCTGTCACACATATGTTAGGTGACCACATGTTGTTAAAATTTTAAGGTGCCCAGTTGTGCGTTTCGGATGTAGGTTAATAGTCGGCCCTTCCTGACGTCAAGCGTCCTCGCGCTCGGAATCAGTTTTTTCTTCGTACGGCAATCGACACCATGGCTTTAGGAGATCAGACGCATAGATTGAATTATAATGTCGTTGTTTTCGATCGGATCCTGGTAGGTCTTCGATGACATAACGGTCATTATCGAGAACTTCGGTGACTACGAACGGTCCTTTATATCGACATTCAAGTTTGCGGGACGTGCCTGTGGATGCTGGTACCATATTACATTCGCTTCCAGTATCAATAAAGGCAATGGCTTGCTTGCCACCAATCGTTATTTTCTTAAGGAAATTATTGTCGATAATACTTGTTTTTCGCACGAAAGCTGATGGTTTTCCGCAATCTTGCTGTTCATTTTTGGGGTGCACCTTATTACAATCTATACAACGAGGACGTTTTGGGGGTCTTGCACAATTTACTGACAAGCGCCACAGTTGTAACACATAACATTCTTTGCCTTACTGAACGATTGTATTCTTTGTTCGCTTTCACCCGCATTATGAAAAAGCTTTTCGTTTATCTTAATGCAATTTTGTAAAAAGTTCTCGCATGCTTCACGCATTTCTTTAACGGTTACGAATTTTTGCGGAGCAATCGCCATTTGTAGTTCTCGATGTTTTAATCCTTCTCGGCCGTATTTCGTGATAGCCATCTCACTAAGATTATGACGTCGTCCTAGCGCAGAGACACGAAAGATGAACTCAGTTATTGTTTCGTTTTGCCTTCGAGCAACGCGCGACATATTGTAATGTATATCCGCTTCATCGTATTCGCAACCGAACTCGGTGACAAGCTCATTTGAGAACTCCTTTCAAGTAGCATGCATTCTTGGTGATGCGTCCACCCACATGCGCGCTACACCCTTCAAACGGCTATACACTGCAAGAAGCACACTTTTTTCGGGCCACGCATATACAGACATAACAGCTTCAACACGTTCGACAAATTGCGTAGCCGTAATAGAATTTTCATTCGTTGGGTCGAATTCGGGCAAGACTTCTGCGATTTC